AGATAGCTGAAAACACCGTATACATAAATGAGAGAAGTCGCTTCATTTGTCCGAGGAGGCATGTTGTTTAGGAAATAAATCTTGTGAATAAGATAAATGGCACCATGAACAGCTGAACTGTTCATTTGGACTGGAACTCTTGATTATACTTGTTTTAACTAGCATCTACTGAATTATTGAACTTTTTTTTTAATTCAATGTCTTCTACTAAGAATGTTATTGTGGATATATTTTATTTTAGTTTTTATTTATAAAACTATAATTTTAGCTTTTTTTTGTGGGGCTAATTTAGTGGGAGTGGAAGGCACTGAAGGTGCAGACATTCTTGCAAAACAGGCAGTAGAATCTAAAAATATTAATTATGAAATACCATTATGTAAAGATGAATGTAAAATGATAATAAATAACTATATTAAGAAAATATGGCAGGAAAACTGGGACATTACTGATACAGGAATACATTTACATAACATTCAGAAAAAAGTAGGATATACAAGGAAAGCAGGAAGAAACGGGAAATTAGAATCAATAATTACTCTTATTAGAATAGGACACATAGACCTTAATAAATATCTTAAAATAATTGGAAAGCATGCAACGGGACTATGTGACAAATGCACCAGTAATCTCCCTGAAACGGTTCAACATGTTTTTATGGAATGTCCTGGGTATGAACCAGAAAGAAAGCATTTCCAAAAATAAATAAATAAAATTAATATTAAATTTACAATTAGTGACATTTTTAGTAGTGATATCAGTAAAGTAAAAGACCAAATTATTTTCTTGAAAAATACAAACTTAATAGAGAGAATTTACTTGAGTTATTATATTACAGAATTAGTTTTTATTTCCTGTTTATCTCCTGTCCACACTCCTGTTCAGTAGGTGGCGGTAAAGCACCTTACAGGTGGTCTGTCAACCAACCACCATAAAACAAAGCACGAAGAAGAAGAAGATTAAATGATAAAACGGCCTGCCGTACAGACGCATTCAGGAGGCGGAGCCACCGACAGCCTGACTGGACGCTGCAGCCATGGAGGAAGTAAAAGGTCAGTGAGATTTTTTTTATTCAAAACGGCTTGAAATGATTGGTTCCAGTTACATACATTAAATATTATACCCCCACGTCTATTTATTTACCATTCTTGAAAATAAATTTAAATTGCCGTTAGGAAATAATGCAGCTAAAGGCGTGTTTTCAGCAGCACTCACGTAGCGGTTTCTGCCGGCGTTTTGTTTTTGAGATGGACACTTTAATATGATGCTACGTTGATGTTAGCACTTACAAGAAAAATGGAAGAAAATGAACACATTGCTAGTTTATTTTATTTTATTACAAAATATGTGAAGTTCCCTTGCATGTTATTAAAACCAAAGAGTAAATCTTCTCTAAAGGTGCTGACTGTTTCTGTCCGTGTAATAGTGTCGGTGTTCTGCCCAAAAATGTATCCCCAGCAGATCAGCTCCCCTGGTTTACTGAACACATCTTTCAGCTGGTTCTTTAATGGGTTTATTTCTCAGAATATGGAAGTCAGTCCAAAATAAAAGCTGTCTACTAATTGTAATTTGTGTAAACATGAACAAATTTAATACTGTTACGATATTTTTGGACTGGGCCTATGGTTTTGATCTGCTCAGACACGGGATTATAACGAAATTAGGACCCGGTTCTGACTGGGTTAAACTGGGCCAGCAACTCTAAAGAGAGTCTCCCTGGGATTCAATATCTGTCACGGAATAGAGTTTAATCTGCTTGCCACATCACATAGAAAGGCTTTTGAAGCACCATATTTCCTAACACGTCAGTCCACATAAGATCCACTGAGATCACACTTGGTCACGCCCCCTCATACACTAAGTTGAGCTCCCCTTCTGTGAAGGCAGAGTCTAGGACCCTATAAATGAGTAATGACACGAGACATCGGGGCGTCACAGACTGGAGAGTCCAGCACTGTAAATTGTAATATTTTCCTGCTTTTTTTTTAATATAATTGATAAAACTTAATTGACGTTTCCTTGATTTATTGATTAGTATGAGTTGCCACTTCTGAGGGAGGTTTGAGCCGGGGGGAAAGACGTGGGCTGGAGGGGGTTTCCGGGTCCGGTGGTCCTCAGCCAGCTCCCGTTTTTAACAGTTGGTGCCGTGACCCGGATCTCCCGCGTGGCAGGCGAGAATTCTACCACTGAACCACCAATGCGGGGAGGACGCGATTATTTATTTTAATTTTATGTTTAGCTGCTTATTGAGTTTCACAGATAACAATGGTAAAATTTTGTGTTTGTTAAATAACACTGCATGTTTTGCTCGTAGTGTTTCCTCTGACCTGTGCTGTACAAAACTATGCATGGGGGAAACTTGGACTGGACAGTGAGGTGGCTAAACTGGTGGTCGGTGGGGACCCACTTGCAGTAATAGAAGATAAAAAGCCCTATGCAGAGGTAAGAACCAAAGACCTGCGCTGTAATTTATTATTTTAAGGTGAGTGACAAAAACAAGCGGCTGTTTATTAAAGATCTCTGTATTTAGGAGCTGCACCTCCGAGCTTTAAGAAATTTTAAGACAGAAAAACATAATTTTACTCAAATGTTTTTGATGAACTAATGATGTATTGTGGAAAAGAACTTGCAAGTCCATTTTATTTATTTAACACAAAGTATAAAATAGTTTTTCATATTAAAATAAATCACATGCAAGTTTTTGAGCAAGAGTACCGGTATATGACATGCACAGTTTGTGTGCATAAACCTTTAAAAGTTATTAGTTGATATCCACCTAAAACATGAACAGTTGTTGCCATTAAATATATCTGCTAAAACAAAAACTCTATATTTATGTTAGAAATAGAAGGAGCTGTTCGGTTATTGCATCAAAAACCTGGACTGGTCGACTTGTCCAGATTAAATCACTTCAACATTTAAAAGTGATGGAAGGTTTTGTAGGGATGTATTTTGTTCATTCGAGACCAAGATGCACCACCAAGTTGAACGTCTGTTATTTTCTTTCACCTAAAGTGGTGGAATGGTTGCCTTATTTAAAACAAAGTTGAGTCAGAACCTCTGGACTGGTTCTTCTTTACACAAAGAAACGAGGACCTGAGGACCTGACCCACCCACCCACGGTGGGTTGAAACTCTTTTCCACCTCCTGTATCCACGATCTCGTTCTTTCAGTCTCTACCCAGAGTTCATGACCACAGGTGATGGTACGAACGCAGACTGACCAGTAAACAGAGAGCTTTGCCTTACAGCTCAGCTCCCTGTTCACCACAAAGGACCGGTGCAGAGTCCGCAATACTGCAGACGCTGCACCAATCCATCTGTTAATCTCTCGCTCCATTTTTCCTTCACTCGTGAGCAAAACCCTGAGATACTTGAACTCCTCCACTTGAGGCAGAACCTCACCCTCGACCCAAAGTGAGCAATCCCTTTTCCAACTGAGGACCATGGACCGACTCATCCTTGTTAGATGCATCTACCTGGATTATTGAGCAGCTTCAGGACATTGGTTTAGTTTATCAGCCTGTTAGTGGGATTACACAAAGTTACAGAAGGGCTTGTGTTATTGTTTCACATGCATAAGGTCCATTATAAAAGGGTTCAAATTTTGATGTTTATCTGTATTAGGACCTGGATTTAAGATGAGTACCTTTGGATTTGTATATTTTCGACTCCTGGGTTGTTGTTCCTGAGCTTGTTGGCAGAAGGACTTTCTCTCTGTGCGTCTTTATTTAGCTTCCAGCTGCACTGCAGGGTTTGCCTTGAAGGTCACTAGTTCAGGTCGTGACTGTGGTGACATTTCCACATCCTGCAAGTCGCACTGTTGCTGGTCGTGATGGTTTTAGTGGTTATCTACAAGTGGTGATATGAAGGCTTGTGCTGCAATAAGTCGAGTTTTATTTATTTATTTTGTGTACGGTCATAAAAAAGTTTAGCTTCTTTTTGTTTCTAGGGTTTTATGCATCTCAACATAATAAAAATGATCTGATCCTAACCAGGTTCTAAAATTATTCAACCTCACGTGTCCAAAAACACACAACAGGTTCCAGCAGGTCAATGATTATTAAACAAAAATAAAACCAAAATAAAAAATAGCTGCGTATAGAAAAACTAAAACCAAGTCCCCCACTCCAGCTTCCATAAACATTTAGAAGGAAAGTATTAACCTGCGGAACAAATGCACCCTATAACTGATTTTAATTAATGTGGTCACCTCTTCCTTTCCAGAGCAGACGGGTAACACAGTGCCAGGGCGGGAAGACATCAGCTAAGAGAAACAGCTATTGCTGTTGATTGGAGTTATAAGCTTTACATTGTTAGAAGTCTACTTTTTTGCAGTTAGAAGTCGACCTGTCGCGATAAATAATAAATCAATTAATCACATGATAAATGAAAATTATCGTCCTCATTTTCATTTATCCACTTTATCGTTTCTTCATGTCTCTCTCTTTTTACTGAAGACACTGGATGAGAAAAGGCTCAACTCCAGTGCTCTTCACTGACCCCTCCCTTTCTCTTTAAAATCTGTTTTAATCGTCTAAAGTCGTGTTTTTGGACGGTTAAAAGCAGCTAAGCTGAGAAGCTAAGCTACGAGCTAAGCTAACAGGTCGACCTCGGGGAGAAAACTTCCGTCTTGTGGAAGCTCCAAAATTCACGGTTGAAACCCGTGCCTTCGTGTAAAAAGTTGTTTTTCGCTGCAAAAAGAAGCTGAGAACTTGTTTACTGATTTCTTTTATTAAAAGCTTTGTGTGAAAAATGGTTCTGTAGGTCGGCGAGGTTCTGTAGGTCGGCGTGGTTCTGTAGGTCAGCGAGGTTCTGTATGTCGGCGAGGTTCTGTATGTCGGCGAGGCTCTGTATGTCGGCGAGGCTCTGTAGGTCGGCGTGGTTCTGTAGGTCAGCGAGGTTCTGTAGGTCAGCGAGGTTCTGTATGTCGGCGAGGCTCTGTATGTCGGTGAGGCTCTGTAGGTCGGCGTGGCTCTGTAGGTCGGCGTGGCTCTGTAGGTCGGCGAGGTTCTGTAGGTCGGCGAGGTTCTGTATGTCGGCGAGGCTCTGTAGGTCGGCGTGGCTCTGTAGGTCGGCGTGGTTCTGTAGGTCGGCGAGGCTCTGTATGTCGGCGAGGCTCTGTATGTCGGCGAGGTTCTGTAGGTCGGCGTGGTTCTGTAGGTCGGCGAGGTTCTGTATGTCGGCGAGGCTCTGTATGTCGGCGAGGCTCTGTATGTCGGCGAGGTTCTGTATGTCGGCGAGGTTCTGTATGTCGGCGAGGCTCTGTAGGTCGGCGAGGTTCTGTAGGTCGGCGAGGCTCTGTAGGTCGGCGAGGTTCTGTATGTCGGCGAGGTTCTGTATGTCGGCGAGGCTCTGTATGTAGGCGAGGCTCTGTATGTAGGCGAGGTTCTGTAGGTCTGCGAGGTTCTGTAGGTCAGTGAGGTTCTGTAGGTCAGCGAGGTTAGGTCGGCGAGGTTCTGAAGGTCAGCGAGGTTCTGAAGGTTGGTGAGGTTCTGTAGGTCAGCGAGGTTCTGTAGGGCTATGCCAGCAGTTTTGCTGCACGTTGTGCATGTGAAAAGTCCAAACCAACAGATGAAGGTGAAAGTTAAAGGAGACTCAATAAAACAGGAATAAAAGTCGAATCAACGTTAAAACCACGGAGCTTCAGATAAAAAAACAATCTCTGTTCTTGTTATGTGAGCGCCGGGATGTAACGAGGCTAAATGTTTTGGCGACAGGAAGCTCATTAGCTCATCCCAAAAAATAAAAATCCATAAATCAGCCGCAGCATTGTTTAATCTGTGGTGTTCAAAGTGTGTGGAAAAAGTGGCAGCTTATAATCCAGAAATTATGGTACTTGTCCTGTTAAAGGTATAGATGTTTGGTCAGGACTGTGACAGATTTATTTATTTATTTAACACATTTTCATGGTTAAATTTGTGTTTTTTATTTTACGTAATTTAACTTAAATTAAAATATATATTTCTAACTTGTTCATATCAAAGTAGTTGAACTAAAATAACTAATGTGGACGAATGACACAGCGGTGGTCACAGTTCATTCACCAACGTGAAACGTTCGAGTCTGTGGGTCCTTCATTAGAAGTTCAGAGTAACTCATTCAGGTTTGGACTCCACTTTTTCAAACTGTCTGAGTCCGCCTCGGAGTCCGCCTCGGAGTCCGCCTCGGAGTCCGCCTCGGAGTCCGCCTCGGGTGTCCGCCTCG